AAGCATCACAAATACAGCCTCACAGGGATGCTAGCGTGGTCACAGACTCTTTGGCTTGGCTGTGAAATTTGTCTTTCACATGTAAAACTGCTCCTAATGATTATTCATCCTAATCTATTCCTAATATTTTGTTTAATTAATAACATGTCTATCTCCAAGGCCCAAAGTGATGTGTTCAAACTACTTATTTTAGCTTATTTATTATAGTCCAAATATAAGTCCAACTAGACCGTCTTGTGATGAGATCACACCAGCTGCAACAAAAAGTAATTCTTTTAGCGCTCCATACATGTATCATGGTGCTAGGGCTGCCATTACAGAGACAGAATATCATCCGCTGTTTTGACTCAACAGTTTAAGTCTGTTTACATAACCAGATTTCAGGTGTGTTTCTCAGGAAACTCAAAAAGGAAACGGCCCCTCACAGCTCAAACTTCAGCTACTTGAAGTGCAATCTGGCAAGGTGTCTGGAAAAATTCCTATGTCGCTATTTCACTGCCTAGAGCAACACATTTTCAGTCGGATGCAGGTTTTATAAGCCACATACTTTAACTTTTTCTCAAGTTGCTCTCATATCATCTGCCCCAAAATTACACAGACACTGACATGGCAACATGTATTATTATTATTTTTTTTTTTTACTTACACAGGATGATTGTAAAACTGTGAGAGGTAAGTGAGTCCTGTAGGTGGAAACTTGAAAAAAAGCAGGAGTCACTGCATCACATATGAGGAAGCACCTCCTTGACCTCATGGTAGCTTATTGGGGGTCTAAACTGCAGCGTTCAGGTGGCTGCTGATTGTTCTCAGCTGTTTTATAACACAGTGATGAAAAATGCAGTCTCTCTGTCTGTGAGTGTCCAGGACTCTTGTTATGGACACAAACTTTTTCTGCACATCTCTCACTGCAAGTGGTACTCCATCTGTCAACTTTGTCTGTGTGTGTGTGTGTTGGTGTATGTAACATGTCCATCGGCAGGTCGCAGGAAAGAAATACACCATGTGGGATCACTTCCGCGTTGAGGGCAGACGCGGCGATCAGCAGGAAATGACCTTGGGCGATCTGTTCCAGTATATCAAGGTACGACCTCCTTATTCCTCTCAGACAGGAAACAGATACTTTCTTCACACCCGGTGCTACTGAGTGCATATTTTATTGAATGCACACAATGCCCATTGTTTGAAACGGTTGACCACTTTACACCTACCATTCACAACTTCAGGACTCTTTTCTGCCATCACGGAGGAGGCAGAAAGAAAGCTTATTTCCCAAAATGCCAAACCTTTCCTTTAAGGTGCTTACTCATTTTCTTACGACTTACATTTTATGATAGTAAAAAATGGTCTTAGATGGGGAAAACTTCATCTTGTTTCTTTAATTAATAAAATATAACAAAACACACAGAAGTACCAGGTTAATAGATGAGCAGAAAGCATGTTGCAATTCTTCTGTCTTCTGTCTAAGCATCTTCTGTCTAAGTAAAGTTATAGCTAATTTCAAGTTTCTAACTTTTCTGCTGCAACTGTGTAGTTTCTCTATCTCATTACCCATAACGAAAAGACAAGAGTTCACAAATACACACTCACAAGCTCTGTAGGACTTTGTGTCTATGTCTGTGCTTGCAGCAGAAACGTCTGAGCACATGACTCCCAGTCTATTTCTTTCATGCACACACCTTCTTGCCCTGAACAGACATTTGGTTTATTGATTCTGCTGAGAGTTTGTTCTGAGGAGGCAAAGGGAAAATAAATTGGCAAGTGTTCTTATTTGCTCCAGGTTTCGTTTAACCTTTGACTGGCCGGGTTCTCCCTGGTTTGTTTGTGGAGACACAGCTGAAGCTTCCTGGACTGCTGAAGTTGTTTTAGGCCACAGGTCATCATCAGACCTTTAGCTCTGCAGACTGCAGTCTTTGTAGAAATTACCTCTGCATAATGCATGTAGGCAATACCTGCATTTATTTATGCCTTACTGTGCTTGTTATACTTTCCAGCAGATTTAATTGGATTATTTGTCTTTGTGCAGGAAAAATATAACTTGACCATCTGCTTCCTCTTCTACGGACCAGCTATCATATACAGTGGGCAAGAGGACCGGCTTCAGCTGAGGTATGTCCACTAAAGGCAAAGATACATTACAATGTTTCGTATACAGAGCAAGACTACATCTGGCACACAACCTTTTACACATAAACAATCACAATAAGCAGCATCCCATTGTTTGTTTAGAGGCTAATGGCAGGATGAGGTGTTTCCTCTGAGCCTGTGAGGAGAGAGCGTGTTGACACACTCACATGCATCACCGAGCACCGATGATTGAGACCGCTTCTCCTCAGGTTTCCATCTGTTTGTTGAGGAAGAGTTAAAGAGTTAAATTAGTGTGAACTTTTTTTTATTTTTTTTCTGCAACGCTGCTCGGGCCTGTTCAACACTGCAGAACATTAAAAGCACGTTTCATAAGCCCCGGGGTGTTTGAAGTGAATCAGATGTCTCATCCTCAATTAAAGAACTGAGGACTGTAAATCATGTTTGACCTACAAAGGGTTATAGGAAATAAATTACTGGGTAAAGTGAAATATTTGATACTAATCATTCTTTGCTTGTGCCATGCTGTGAGGTCTACTGTATGCATGTCCCTTTGTTTTTGTTTTTTTTATGGCGAAGTCTCAGGAGAGCTTTTGCTAGTGTTGTGGTTAGATTAAGCTACAGGCAGAGTGCTGTGGACAGCAGGCTGTACATGACAAATGCTCTCTCCAGTACTGACTTCCTGTGCAGTCGTCCTGAGCAGAGCTTCCTGTTTTGGGCCAGTGATGCGGGAATGTAGAACTTCAAAACTTAAATGAAAAATCATTACAGGAGGGGGGGTTCTATTATTCTATGTTTTTATTATTGTCAACAATTCCCATGATCTTTTGTTTTGATTTTTGATCTCTCTACCCTGTTTGTGGCTCCAGGCCCATTCGTTCCCACTGGAGATGTAAAATCTTAAAAATTGGTCACAAATATTTTTTTTCATTAAAAAGAAAAAAAAAAAGGTTAAATAGTTTTCTAAGATAGCTGGGCATTTTAGTTTGTAGTAGACATTACTCAAACAGGAGAATACTGTGCATTTGTTCAGGACAGTCATTTACTGCAGGGCTGCCTTAGTTTTATCCAGGTGTTCCTCATCAAACGCCAAGTGAGAGAAGAGAGAAGAGAAGACACATTGTAATATCCATGTCCCTTAATGATGTAGAGACACTTTTTAGAAACAAAATTATTTAAATGTACAGTAAAAAGAGCACACACATTTGTTAAACTGATGATTTTTCCTTCCCAGACAAAGATTGTATCTTTATACTGTATCTATTTTCTTGTAGTGTGTCTGACGTGGTGATAAAGGTCACCAGAGCAGACATCCCTCCACACAAGAAGATGCTGGAGTTGATCCCCTCGTTTGCTGAAGATGAGGACTGTGAGTCAGTCCCACCCATCAGGTACCTGCTCTTCTGATGCCATCGACAGGAAGTTTCCACAAAGTTCCAGTGAAATGCGCTCGCGTGGAACTGCTTCAATATGACAAAGCAAACTTAACACTCCTGTGGCTCTTCTGTCATTTAAAACAAAGCTGAGTTTGTTGCCATAGCTGATAGATTGACATCTGAATATATCTTGTTTTTTTTTCCAGTGTGTCTTTCTCTTTGGTTTACCTTACATTTACATGGGCTTTGAATAATTGCACTGTCATACTGGGATCATTTTTATTGCTAAACTTTGATTATGTGAAATGTTTTATAATTCAGTTGTCCTGTCCCAAAAAATACCATAAAATGCTCCAAGGTTAATGCCTAGTTCCTCATTTGGACTTTTCTTTTTTTGTCACTTTATCATATCCCAAGAGGAACCATTCCAATCTCTGATGTCTTTATTGTTATAACCAGAGATTTTACCATGAAAGTCCTGTTTGCTAACTTTTCGTTCTCATTTACATGTAGAATTTGTCTTTTGAGAGTTCAAGCTAAGAGGGTGTGAAGATGCTTGCCAAGGCATATGGATTAGCTGATCTGGCACTGGTGGGGCAGTGCTGGACTGGTTTTCGAGGTCTAATTCAGGTCAGGCTGAGCTTGATGTTGAAGGGGTGCAGTTAGACCAGTCAGCTGGCACAGTAGGTACAGTACTTTGACGATTCAGGGTGCTTCTGCCATCTGGACTCAGCTGTCTTGCGTCAATCCTGTTCTAAACACACTCCCACATGTACCCGTCCCTCCCTCCCTCAAACGAAATCCTCTGGAAACTGGTCAGAACAGAGATCTTCATCTTCATCATCTTCTTCATCTTCAAGGAAGTTTGTCTTTTCCTCAGAAGGATTTTATGCATGGCCGACCCTTTTCCACAACCTCACATTAACATGTTGTTGTTGTTAACATGCTCTGCTGCCTCCGTTGACTATATTTGAATCATGTTGTGTGGAATCATATCTGCAATTATTCCTGCAACTACTTCTAGATGTGCCTTTTAAGTGGGCTGTGATTGAAGGAAGCTGTTTGTCATTAAGTTGTTTGAACAATAAAGCAATAAATATATGAGGAACCATGTTATATCATTGTACTTCAGTAAAACACTTCTGTTCCCTTATCATCTAATAAATTGTTCAGTTGATGAATATACTTTACTATGATGACCACACCCAACCTCCCACTTTTAATCAGGAAGAAAAAAGTTGAATTTACTGGGTTTACAAAGCTTCAACATGGTTTTTGAAATTACTGTCTCAGGTTATTTTATTCTTAATGACTGACTAATTGATCTCATAAGATAACGCAAGATACTGCATTGATGTTGGTGACGGACAGACGTGATCACCCACATATTCTAGGGTTAAGAGGGTTAAGAGGCTTGTGTGGTTGGGAAGAAAGCGGAAGATGGCTAAAATCTTAGAAGATTTCTCATTTAGAAGTGCTGAAACTCAGGCAGGAACAGAACACATTTTCATTAAATACACACAACAAAAGGTTTATTCCACATGTATCAACACTATGGACAAACTCCAAATATGAAAATAGAACCATCTTATTTTAATTTCTGTTAAAGGGGTCAGTCCGTAGTTACAGCCTTTTTTTCAAATGTATCCAATGATGTCATTGCATATGATGGGTTGTCGGCTGCCAGTCTTCATGAGAGCGGTGAACTGGTAGAAGTCAGTGTCCAGTTGATGCAGTCCTGTGTGGGACTGGTGAAAGAAAGGTTTGAGAGCCTGGAATCCCACAGGACAGGACAGCCGTTTGGGAGCCCCTGCAGCCCTGCTGACCCGTGTGGAGTCTGCAGGCCTTGGCCTCACCTCCACACTTTTAGACATCCCAGCCAGTCTCTTGCGCATGTTGACCAAAATGTCTTTGGCAAGGCGCCGGCCGCCACTGGGCTTGAGTTGCGTTGGCTCAGGACACTCTGGTAGGTCCATCCAGTTCTTTATAAGGTCAGCGAAGCTGTTGTCCCCCAGAACCAGAGGCTGTCTGTTCCTGCTGCGGCTCAGCAGCGATGTTGTCCAGTCCTCTGGGTCACTGGCCTCAAATGAGGTCCAGCGCTCCAGGCAAGCGTCCGAGGTCGATTTGGGACGGATACGGCAAGAAGGTCCTCTGTTTGTGCGGAGGCAGGCAGAAGAGGAGACTCGCACGTTCCTGGTCCTCCTCAGCACCACACCTTCATCTTGCCAAGAAGCCTCAGAGTAACCCGAGTCAAAGTCCACACTCTTTTCACTGCCGGGGGAGCCTCGTGCCAGTCGTTCATGCTCCTGCTGCTCCTCGTCCTCTTCCAAAGGGCTGGCCAAGCAGCAGGCAGAATCATATGTGCTGGCATCACTGGCGTCAGAAACACGTAGTCGAGTGAGTCGCTCCTGCTGTGCCCTCTGTTTGCAGAGCCGTGTTGCAGCGAAGGACCGAACACATGGTTCACTCAGTGGCCTCGGCCTGCCTATCTGCTTCAGGTCCTGCAATGATCGCATCATGTACTGCATTTGGTCCCGGAGGCAGTCTGTAGAATCTCTTAAACAGAGCTAGACGATGAGAAAGACACAAAGACTTAGTGGTGCAGGCATTTAAAAATAACACTTCTACTAACACAACTTAAAAGCAAGAAAAGCTGCGGTTAAATTTTGCAGCAGACTACAGTTAGGCTGTGGTCAGTCGAGCTGAGGTTTGAACAGTTCCTTGTGTTATATCCACAACTGGGCCAATAAGATTTTTACCAGCTGAGATCACTCTGCTCTATGACCATATAACAAGTGAAGCATTCCTGACAAACCTCAGAGCAGCTTTATGGAGACCATCCCATGCAGTATGAAAATGAAAGAGTCACAGCTCTGAGAACAGGATGCACATTTTAAACTGGGAAAACGCTCCCTGCCTCCTAAAGCAAGAGGGGAAGTTCAAACAAAGTAGAACTGAATCACGGAGGAGTGCAGAGACTCACATATCCTCTCTGGACTCCCCTAACTCACAGGATGTTGATTGGTCTGTATTATAAAGCAGGAAATGACAGCAACATTTTGGAATTACAGAGTGATCATATTTTAATTATGAATCACACTATCCTCCAGCTTTCAGAGGGACTGAAATCAGTTCAAGTACAATCAGAAGATCAACTTGTTTTTTTCTGTTTCATTTTTGTCAGTTTTCACAAATTATTGTAATATTTAATTTGTTGAGCCTCCCTATCCTGCCAGAGTTTGAGTTGTAAGGACGCCACAATGCCATGATGTTATCACAGCTGTGGGTGCTGAACCATTTGGCCCCTGGGGGGGGGGGGGGGGGGGACTTATCTGACATACAGAGACATCCTCAGTGGGACTCTGTGGTCAGTCTGCCACTTTTAAAATGCCTTGTTCTCCTTGGCTGCTTTCACACAACGGGGAGAAGTGATTCACTCAGTTGTGTACATTTGGCAAGGACAGTTTGGTTTGAATCAACTGTGACTAGGTGGCTAACAACTCACTTTCCTTACCCCCAAAAAAAACTTCATGAAAAAACAGTCATGAAAGGAAAAACTTTCAGAGTCAGAACAAAAATGAATACTTGTTTGTGCAAAAAAAACACAAAAGCCACTGCATCAACAAAAATGTCCAAGTACATGAAAACACGTGAAAAAAAAGAAAGAAAAACTCACCATTGCTTGTTAGTAAATGTCTGGAGTGAAGTTCAGGATCCTTTCAATTATTTCTGCAACAAAAAAGAAAACATCGTTTTAGGTGAGATATCAGTGTTTCACTAATAGGCTACACTTCCTCCCATATATTATTAGTAATAACACTCACCTCTGCATTTGCTTCAGAAATGAATCCCAGCAGACTCTACAGCTCCACAGGTCCACAGCTGATGCCTCTGTGTGTGTGTGTGTGTGTCCTCCCTCCTCTGAGCCAGATGAAGGTCTGTCAGCGGGACTTTGACGATGCTGAGTTTTTCTCTGCAGCAAATCAGCGTGACGCGGCACGAAATCAGCCAATGGCAAGTCGCCTCAAACGAGATCCCTCCCTGTGTAATTACAGCGGTTCATACTCCAACTGTATTAGGTCGTTCTACACTGTTCACACTCAACAGCTGGAGATAGGGAATTAGATTTTTTTTTAAATTTAACAATAAATAAATGGTCACAGAACAAAAACAAGTGTTTTCCATGTACTTTTCCCAAATGCTGTTAAATATTGTTAATAACTAACGATATTTGATAAATAATAACTTTACTTTCATGACCAGCTCTTCATTGTATTTTCCGTAGGCTGTGTAAATGTATACTGAATATTAAAACGACACTCCCAAAAGTCGTCTTGGACAAATACTGTGATTCTGCGGCACTGCATAGATGTGCTGATCTGCTGAGATCCAGGCCTACATGACGCCACCTTGTGGATCTTTGTAAACAGCACCTCCCATATTACCACTCTCCATTGTCCCTGAGTATAAACCTTTTTGCAGCCAATTTTCAAAGGTGCAAACGGTCCATTCACCATTCTGCTCTTAATGAATGTGTTTGAAATGCAAACATGCTATTGGGGTCAAGTGAAGCCCTCATTTCATTTGGCGATGAGCAAAGCAGGCACAACTGCACCTCCTCACCTCACCTCTTTGGATGTTGATGACACTCTGTATTGTAATTCAGTGGTGAAAGAAATGCCCAGGGCCTTTTACTAAAAGTGAAAGCACCAATACAAAGATGAAGAAATTCTCCATTACAAGCCAAAGTCGAAATAGATAGAAATACATATACAAGTGTTAGCAGTAAAACGCGCTCAAGTGGCAAATGTGAAAGTACTCATTCTGCAGAAACACAACCCCTATGACTGATTATTATAACATCAGTAGATTGTTAATACTGATGCAACACTGCATCAGCAGCATTTCACTGTTACCTGGTTGAGGTGGAGCTCGTTTAGTCCCGTGGTTACCATCCTTTTTTTTAAAAACTTTTCTCTAATGAAGTATTAATGATGATAATTTGACCTCTTTGGGCATCAAATTGTTATGTAATAAAACATCTGAGAAATGTAGTGGGCAATCACTTTTGTTAATTTTATAAGTTATAATTTCTCATCATGTTTTTATGTAAATTTTATGTAAATTTAAATGTAAATAAATTCATTTAAAAGGTAACTAGTAACTATATGTGTCAAATAAATGTGTGGAGTATAAAAGTATAAAGTAGAATAAAATGGAAATGGTCAAGTAAAGAACAAGTACCAAAATAGATTCGCTTGTGTCCTATAGATCTTAAAGAAAACCTCTGGACGTATGTCACTTTCTATGTGAGCCGTGAGCAATTAAACAAACCACACTGGTGCACTCTCATGCACTTATTCACTGCCAGTGAATGGGATGGACTGCACTTATATAGCGCTTTTCTAGTCTTAGAGACCACTCAAAGCGCTTTACAATACTCGCTACATTGCCACCCATTCACTCACACATTCATACATTACACGTATACACTGATGGAACAGCCATCAGAGGAGATTTGGGGTTCAGTATCTTGCCTAAGGACACGTGGACTGGAGGAGCTGGGGATCGACCCTCTGATTAGTGGACGACCCGCTCTACCTCCCGAGCCACCCCAGTGCATTCCTATTTGTATTCTATACAGCTCTCTTTCTATATTCTTTTTTAGTTTATCCTTAGTATAGTTTTGGTCCAAACGTGAAGGAACAGAAAAATATGCTGCTTGTGCATTTTCTTTTGACACATCACGCCGCAGAATAAAAGTTCATGTGACCAAACTTTTATTTACATTGAACAATATTAATGACCGACTATCATCCATTTGTCTCAGTGGTGTGGTGCATCTTAAATCATGGGTTATGTGAACTGAAGTGGAGTAGAAATAGCCCTAATTCACACTATGAAGATAGCATGTCTCTAAAGAACAAGTGTAAACAGATATCAAGGCACAAACATATGGAGAAAGACTTGGAATGAAACAAATAGTACAGAACAATCCATGTTAGGAACAGACAGAACCACTTAAAAATCTTGCAGATATCTTAAAAGTGACACACAACCATTTCTCTTTTGTTTCTTTAAAGAAGTTACTTAAGGAATGTTATTCAGTTTGTGGGGGGGGGGTGTTACAGGCTAATCTATGGACAGTCATGCAGAACAATGCACTATAGTACAACTGTGAATATTGATTCTGTGTAAACATTGTACAAAAAACATTTTCCCTTCATCCATTTCCATTCTCCATGCTTGTTTGTTTTCTTCTAAAAAATAAGCTCTGTGCAGTCAAAAGGTTCAGAAAATGCCAACGCTAGTTAACATAAGTTAATGTGATTTTTATAAAAACTTTTTTTGTACCGTATCCGCTTAATAAACTTCAAAAGCAAAAGGGAAATGGAAACAAAAACCTATCAAATTAAACAGAAATCTGAATATAAAAAAAAATGAGACAACTACCATTTAAACAAATGGCTCTCAAAACGGTCCTTTAAGGTTTATTGAGGAAGAAAAATACTTAAATTTTATTGTATTTTCATTTGTCATGTGGCATGATGAGATAATTTTCTTATTATGACAAGTTTTACTTCCCACAGTTAGTTTCCACTTCAGCCAGTCAGCGCATATAATTTATGTTCTACGTCTAATTGAAAAAACGCCAATTCTCTGGTGAGTGCCTGGACTGTTCGTGGTTCTTTTCCAGTGAGGGGGGGTTCTAGGTCAAATATCTATGTGCTCAGTATTTAATCCGAACTCAGTATGAATAGTATGAGAACCCCTGATCAAGAGCAGTGAGAAATATATATAAAAATAATAATAATAATAACACAATAGACTCAAAACATGATGGTTGCAAATCAGTGATTGTTTAAGTTCTTTGAGGTTTCCCCCCCTAAGAATCAAGTCTGTTATGGTTTTCATTATGAAAAGCAGTAATCATCACATGGCTGTTGCAGTCTCTCATGCAGTCTGTGCGCGTCGGGCATCGTCCTGCATGAAAAGACAGATGACAAGCACAGCAGCTTTATAGAAATACAGTATAAATGTTGCTTCACAGTTTAAATGAACAAGAGTTAGAAATAGTCCCATTCAAAATCTGACAGTTAAATCTGGCAGTCTGACTAGTCACTAGGTGGTGTGATTCATTCAAAATGTGGTTTGCAATATTCACATTGTGACGCATAACTGAATGTTAGACAAGCCTAATTAGCAAGTCGATTATGACACTGAATCTGACCTGAAGATCTGACTTGAGTGTGTACAACACCTGAGAATTCATGTGACCTGTCAGGTTGCACCAAAAAGGTAAGTAACCATGACCACTGTCTGTACCACAGAGGGCATTATTTTTACCTGTTTACCAGTCCAGCAAACAAATCTACCAGAGTTTGATGCATGTGGTTAAAATTCTTTAATTTGTTTTTTTAAATTTCCTGCTTTACAGTAACTTTCCCAGCCACCCTGTCATTATCCCTCTATCCTACCTTTAGAAAAGACCACAGTCCTTCAGGTTGTTCTTAATGATGACGTCAGTGACGGCGTCAAAGACAAACTGCACGTTCTTGGTGTCAGTGGCACAGGTGAAGTGGGTGTAGATCTCCTTGGTGTCCTTTTTCTTGTTCAGGTCCTCAAACTTGGTCTGAATGTAACTGGCCGCTTCGTCGAACTTGTTGGCTCCTGGTGAGCAAGAGTTTGGAGAGATGAGGTGGCAATTTTGTTTTCAAGAGAACACATTACGTTTTCTTATGCTGTGATTTGTTTGTGAGTCAGTACAATGCGGACTGCAGCCACAGTGACCCGTCTATTACGGCCCCTGATATCCCACCCCGTACCTGTGTACTCCGGGAAGCAGATGGTAAGGGGGCTGCGTGTAATCTTCTCCTCAAAGAGATCCTTCTTGTTGAGGAAGAGGATGATGGAGGTCTCAGTGAACCACTTGTTGTTGCAGATGGAGTCAAACAGCTTCATGCTCTCATGCATTCGATTCTAAAGAGAAGCAAAAATCGGTCATGACCTGTGGCCGCCACTAAAACATCAACAACAAATCAGAGCTGCCACCAGGGGACAATGTTGCTTAATATTTTAAATGTGAGCAGTAACCAGTGCAGGGGAGGTTCTTCAGACCATGGTTTTGCCATGTCTCTCTTGAGCACTCTTGTTAAATTGATAAGTACTTCAAGAAATTGGGGTCAAATGGTTCAAATCATTTGAAGAATTAGCTATTATGACTGTTATTACATAATTGCACTCCATTGGTTCAACTGTAAATGTATCATTGAACTCCAATGAGCCAATTTTACCACCTGGAGCTCACTATTATTGAGCCATAATAAGAAGCGATGAGCGATGTCAAACCATCTTCTAATGCCGTACAATCTAAACAACCTCACACTGAAAATGAGCAAAAGAGCAGATTTATGTAGCCTGTCAAGTTCATCTGTGCAGATGAAGACGCACACATCAGAAGATGGAGTTCTCCTTACCATCTCCTCATCCTCAGCCAGCACCAGGTCGTAAGCGCTCAGTGCAACACAAAAGATAATGGCTGTGACTCCTTCAAAACAGTGAATCCACTTCTTTCTCTCTGAGCGTTGGCCTCCCACATCAAACATTCTGCAAGGGAGATGAAGCACAGGAGACAAACTGTGTGTCTGTACTGTGTATGTGTGCGTGTGCGTGTGCGTGTGCGTGTGCGTGTGCGTGTGTGCTGGTAGGGGGAAGGAGGTAACAATGAAAGACAGTAAGGTGAAGCTGATCGAGAGCAGAGCGCTGAAGAGGACATTTCAGGAAGAACGACAGTGACGAAGGAAGGAGAAAGTTAGGGTGACATTCCATCCCTGGATGTGCATTAAGTTTTCATGAGGCCGCTTTGAGAACAAAAGTGGTGGTGAGGAGGTGGAGAGGTGTCCGTCACACATCTGATAAAAGATTGCGGGGTCAAAGTGGGCTACAAGAGGCAGGCGTCTATATTCAGTGCAGAGCCCTGGCTAATGGGGAAGCTGAGCGCTGTGATCGAAGCTGTTAGAGGTGTGAGCAAAACCCCGCAGAAGTGATAATAGTCTACCACATCCAGGACAGCTGCCATGCTTGGATGATACAGACGATAGATACATGAGGTTTTCGGTGAACCCACAATCTGTTTAGGTTAACAAACGCCCAAGAAGCACCATCTTGATGAATCTAAATTAAAACCACTGTTGAATGATGGCATTTCTCTGTATCTATACGTATTTCCTTTTCGTACTTATTATGGCAAACAGGTCCGAATTATAAAAATGTGACTTTCTTCTTATTGATTGCCTGCATGTATTATTCAGGCCAAATATTGAGGCAGTGACAGAAGGTAAATATCAGAGAGTTTATCAGGAAGCAGGTCACACCAGAGCCCTGTGGCCACTGCTGCCTTTTTTTTTTTCATTAGCCCCATCTCTTTAGCTACTTTACAAAGGGTTGAGGTTTTTCATACACTGGCCAAGAACTAAAAAACACAAACAAAACCAAACAGACACATCCTCTTCATATCTATACTCTTTGCACTTTTATATAACACATTCACCTACACTCTAATCATGAACTGAACCCGCCTTAGCGTAGGTCCTGGTATCACATGTTTAAACACTTCTATTAAGAGATATTTCTATACATCCATTACTGTCCCACATGAGTGCTCATGCTGGATCAGAGCATATTTTATGTAAGATCTACAGTGCTGTGTCACTGAGGACATACTGAAACATTAACACTAAATAAAGCTCTAGCTTTATTGAGCAAGAGAACAGTGGGCAGACCTAATTTATTTATTCAGCTCTCAGTGCAATCGTGATAATTAAGCCTTTTAATTGCTGGTATAATTTGGCTTCTGAGTAGCTGAGTTGCACATTTCATGGCGGCAGGGTCAGTCATCTCTCGATGCTCTTAATGTTGGGACCATAATTAAGTTGAACAATTTCTGGGTAATGCAGTAAACTAGGTATATGGCCAGCATTTACTATGCTTTTGTTTAGTGTTCAGAGCAGGTGCAGAGGAGGCGGGTATTGCAATGTCACTGCTTACACTGATAGGACCTAATTTAATGTAAACACTTATGCTGATGTAACTGTATTTAGCCTGCTACTGTAATATCAAACAGCACCAAGGACAATTACATTTTACTCAGTGTCTTCTTCTGTTTCATGTGCTGTTGTGTGGCCGGTAAGACTAACTGACAACTGGCAGTTTTTTTTTTATGTATCAACAAATAACACTGTAGGCAAGCATGAGAGGTAAGTGAACACACGGGGAGTCATATAACCACTCGGGTTACTAAATGTCAAATACTGGGTCAGCTGCTAAGTGAGCGTTCCCTGGACTCTCACATTGGCATGTTATGAATACAACATTGGCATGGAGGCAGGGTGAGATTGGAAATGGTATTTGCTTTTTTCCTTTATTTATTTGCTTTTCTGTATCCAAAATACCTGAAGTCTATTAACATTGGTATCAAATCAGTGCTATTTGACCTTACTTGAAGTGCAGTTCCTTGAAAGTGAAGTGAGTCTCCACAATGCCAGTGGTCTTGACCCGAGTTCGCAGCACATCCTGCTGGGTGGGGATATAATCTGCTTTAGCTATCCTCTCCAGGTCGTTCAGGTAACTAAGAGAGATAGAGAGGGAGAGAGAGAGATAGAGAAAGTGATCAAGATTGCGACATGATTTTCAACCTGCAAAAGAGAGAGAGAAAAACAAACAGGCCGACACAACGCATGAACATACAGTTCGCTGTTTCCACTTGTGGTGCATTAACATCCAAATCAGTCTGTATTTCTCTGGACTGCTTTGAACTGTAATGAACTTTCCGTGGAGTGAGTCATAATCTGCTGCATTAAACGAGAGACTGCTAAACTTCACACGTAGCGTTTCATTAGACTGTTTAAGGCCTTATAAGGAACTGTGCTCAGTAGGGTCCTGTAATAGTCAAGTTATAACCAAATGCATTATGCATGTCAGACTCTGTTACATCAGTTTTTAGCCTTCCAGAACCGCACCTCCGAACTGTGGTTGAGAGAAACCAGGTTTAATCGACATAAACATGTACATGGACACAGCAGCAGTAATCACCAACACAAGCTATTCGATAATTCCGGAGCTATAGCCTGAGTTCCTCTAGACATTTCAGGGCTTGTTAACAGGAACAAGCCTGCAATAACTGATTGCTTTTGGTCCATTGGGGGGCAGTGGAAACAAGGGATGAACATGACATATACATATGATCACCTTCTAACACCTCGTGTCAATGTAAGTCAAATGGTCACTCTCTTGTAGCTCTGTTTTTGGTCTCCACCAACTCCTGTCACTTCAGGTGACATTCACTGCATAGTGGCTATGGATACATGCTGGGACCTTTCTTTACTGCACTAAATATGTCTTTTGTTGTTGTGCCATATGTATTATGATGCTGTCACGCTGCTGATTTACATAGTGGTGAAATACTCATGTTTGAGTATCACGACAATAAGCACTGAATTGGTTTTGCAGTAAATTTTGCTCTTGGTTGTTGCTGCTGTTGTAGGGGTTTCAGAGGCTCATCGCCGACTCATGTCTCTAGTAGAGACTGATAGTGTATAATGGCTCTGGTTGTTGTCTTCTATGAAGCATATTCACATTATTATTTGCCTGTACTAGTATCCTCACTGAAAACTGTTTTCATGCTTGCAAGATACTGTAGATAGTCATCCACACTCATTGCTAGTATTTAGTTTATAGACATGTATGTAATGCTGCTTATCTGCTGCACCTCAAAGCTACCACAGATATAGGTAATACATCATTGTAAGGCTCTAATGCAGTTTCTTGGGGATACATTTTTCATCATTGCTCCAGTCTCTGCTGTGCTGCTGAGCTTGGTGGATGTTTGTGGGGAGGGAGATGAGGTCAGAGTGTGGATGCCAAGAATCAACTCTGTACTTACTCTGTATTCATATAATAAATCCCCATGTGAAATGGCTGAGTGAAATGTCTATGCGAGACCCCTAAGGGATTACCACTAGACCCACTAGTACTATGTACTATCCTTAGTGGGAGGATTTCTATGGCAACATGCACATTCTTTACTGATTTGCTCTACTTTAGTCAATTTGATGTGTGCTATTAGTGAAAAATATGATCATTTGTTGTTGCTTCTGTGATCTATTTAAATACAATATTCCAAGGCGATCAATAGGGCTTTGAGATCAATTTGTACAGATTTCCCTCTTAAAAGCAAGATAGCAGGCAGCCCTTGTTACTTGTAAGAGCAGCACTGAAGTAAGCAAAAGAGAACATTACACAGGGTCTGTGCAAAACAGAGATGCAAGTTAAAATTCACACAAAAGAAAAAGACAAGTAAAATACATTTGCCACTTTCACTCTTTGTAGTTCTTCATTCACAACTCTCCTTTCCCACTTTCTGTCTATTCCTTTTTTTCTTGTCTGTCCTCCGACAGACTGTTGGTCAGTAGGGGAGTGTGGAAGCATCTTCACCATGCTTGACGCAGCTTGCCCCACTTACACAAGCATTGCATCATCATCCAAGGCCAGATGGGAGCTTTAGTGGTCCAGCCAACCTACGCCTCACAGACAGAAAGAGATATATGTGTCCAGCGTGGATGTGACATTCATGCATGTCACATCCACTGAATAATAATTAATTTAAAAAAACATAATAAATGATTAACCAAACATTTTATTTTTATCTGTGTCATCATAGAAATCGTTACAAAACATTTCCAAATGGGATGACTTTTGATGAGTTATTAAGAACATATCATGCAAAGCAACATTTCTGACAAAATTAATCAACTCATTGATAAAACCAAGGGGTCACATGGAGGTCTATTATCACAGCTATCAACACACATAGTCTACTTGGATGAAGTTCACTTGAAGTAAACTATTTTTTTTGAGTCTCATTTTTTTCATCCCTCAAGAAAAACTATTCTGTGCTGTGCTTATCAGGTTACAATATTAAATAATCAAACCCAGAGAGGGAGAAATAATAGTTAAATGGAAGTTATTGGACTATCTCTCCAGTCTCTATAGCCCCCCTGAGAAGTCAAAGACGGGTTTCTCACTGCAGCATATATGAGAGAGGCTGACAGGCCTACACCATTAGATCCATCACAACACCAAAAGCATCCCTAACGGCAGTAACAATGCAAACAAACACCAAAATATCTCTCGACTGTCGCTTTCTAAAGCTGTTTTTTTAATCTTTTAATATTCTTATTTAAATAATATAAAAGAGCTGTGCTTCAGCTTTCTGTTTACGTGAAAAATTATTTTCAAACATGAATTACAAGCAGATATGCAGCAGGAGAAAACGAGCACATTTTCCAGGTGGGTATGAAGTTTCCCACTTGGCCACATTTGCATTTACAGTGGGTTAACACAGAGTGTAATCAGGAGAAGATTGCACATTGATTGATGTACAAGTAGAGGAGGATATGTAGAGACAATGCTGATAAAGGAAGTCTGAATATTACAAAAGTTAGCAGGATATTGAAAATCATAGATTTCATCAAGCTTGCACATTTGCTGGAAGGTATTACTTTTTTTGAAGCGATGGTAAATGTATATTAGATTCCAGAGCAGAACAAAACACACACACACACACACACACACACACACACACACACACACACACAAATTCAAACTCACTATGCTGCTGAGTCGTTGAGTTGGTATTCTCGCGACCTTGCAAAGCAACTCTGTATGCCGCTGTCACCCCACAATCGCCTGATCACGTTGGCCAGGTCATCGGGAAGAACACCCTGCTCTTCAGCAGCTGCAGACAGGGCGAAGAGCTGCTGGGCATCATCCTGCAGGGGGCGATCAGGATACAGGGGTTGTTGCAATGAGAGCAACATACATGCAAACATATATGCAAATTGTTGACTGTAAAAATATTCAGTTGGTAGAAAAATAAAACAAAATACATATTTGATTTACACCAGCAACCTGTGCATCATCTGTTAGACTGAGTGAAAAATGACACAGCAAATACAGCCCTCCCAGCCATTAGCTCCGTTTTTGGATACATAATGCAAAATAAATAATATTTAGTCATGGATGCTTTGCCTCTGAATTACTGCCAAGGAAGCAAAGGTTATGATAGTAGCAATATAATGTGATGATGATATCACTGAATCCTCCGATAAGCCGATGCCAGCCAATATGGGCTGAGCATGATAGGTGAGATATGTTGGTGTGACTCAAGGTAACACAGTAGGCAATGTTGCTATTACACATTGTGGTTTAAATTTCCTCCTGTTTGCCATGTTGCTCGTTTCTCTCAATTCTCCATTTTCCTGTTGGCATGAAGTCAACCGTTTTCCCTGAGCTTTAGTCACAGCGCGTGATATGATAAAAATACAAAAAGTAGTAATTAATCCCTGGACCTCCTTGTGTATCTGTATATATCAGCATAGCAGTGGTTCAGCAGAATCTGACTGTGGGATGGGCTGTTCATCTGTCTGTGTAGTCATCATTACAGTAAAGAAATAATTCACAATCTTAACTGTGTGTTTGTCACATTTGAAGAGAAATGCATTTTGTGGGAAATCACCTTCCCATATTTTCAATGCTTTTTTCTCAGCTGATTGATATCTATTTGCCTTGTCCTTGGTGAGCACCAATCACCAGTTACTGTTCTTTATTCTGAGCGAGATAACAATCCAGTTTACTGAGGTTCTGTGTCTGGTCAATAGTTTCTTTTCAATTTTTTTTGCAGTGTGTTTTATTCTAGCAGTACATTGTTGCAGGGACTATGATTGGTGAGCTCACACACCACCAATGAAACAGGTGTTTTTTTTAAGTTCAGATGTTGGATAATAAGTGAATCTCTGCGTATGTAATATGTTTGCTGGAACTCATCCTGCTCCTTCAACCAAAGTAAACAGCCAACAGCCTGGATAATGTGTAAGTCTGCATGTTTTGGTTTCATGTCCGTTTTTGTGTTTGTGCATGTGCGCACACATGCACAATCTGTGTGTGTGTGTGTGTGTGTGTGTGTGTGTGTGTGTGTGTGTGTGTGTGTGTGCGCGTGTGCATTTCCACAGGGCCGCTGTGTGCAAGTATGGGCAGGCTAGCACACTAATTGCCATGTGTGGGAGTCTGTGAGAGTATTGTCACGTACACACAGCCTTTTGACAGATCTGTCAGTGAGAAAAAAAAAAAAAAAAAAAAGATCTATCCATCCCACTCTAATGACCATAGCAGAGTCCTCAATCCATCTATTACAGCTTCAGTTACTGAACACATAGGCTGGCTCCACTGTAAAATCACACTGACACACACTCCTCCACAGGAATTAAGTTCAGACACTGTTAGACCTCAGTGTCAGCTTGTTCATCGGCTGATAAGTGTTCACAGGGTGCAGCAGACTGGATCTGTGCCTGAAGCTGGGACTTGTTGTTGTTGTTGATGATGGTGGTGCATGTCTTCATTCATTTGTGTGCGCGGGGTGGGTCTGTTCCTGTTTCTGTATGACAGTTTAATGAATACTCTGATCAGCTTGGTGACTGTGTGTTAATTGGGGCTTGTAGAGCTGTTAATGATTATTTTTATTATGGATTAAGCTAATTGTTTCAAATAACTAATGAAGCATTTAATCTTAAAATGTCAAAATAGTCTCAAAAGCCCATCCAAAGTTCAGCCCAAAGTCGGATTCACACCGACTGTCTAAAATCCCAAAGATATTCAATTTATGATGATATTACACAGAAACATACTGCAAATCCTCGTATAAAAGAAGCTGAAAATGTTTTTCACTGATGCACTTTGGCAGTTTATTAAGCCTTTAGTAATTGTTGCTACTCCTGTCAAGCGTTCCATTCTTGTACAGCATCGGCAGATATGCAGTTTAACAGTGGCAGATTTACCACCCCAAATTCTTGGTAATTTCTGAAACAGTGTGTCCTTGATTTCAGACAGAAGAACGCAAAAACAGGCTTCTCTCTCTTCTCTCTGTCATTTCAGCCAGACTGAACCCACACCTTGCGCTGGCAGATTTTATCAGCAGTAGCTAACTAATGAAGCTAACATTAGCTCCATGAGTTGGTTGAAAATGCTGTCTCTGGCTGACTTTTTTAATGTTTCCAGTATGCTGCTTTTAATACAATCTGGGGTAACACTGGCTGTGCTAGTTGTGAACTTTTCTTTTGTTCTATTTTTGTATGTAACTAAGACTCCATTAGAGCAAATAAAAAGACACTTTAATGGATTCCTTACACTTTTACCCCTGTTATTCTGGTTCTGCTTCAATATGAGGAGAAATCCAAAGCCTGACAGACCTGCTGTGCCTACTAACAGTTGCTAAGTTATGATTGGACAATCATTGGTTGGGGGGTATGGGGGTAGGGGGGGTTTAGTGAATGATCACTTGCAGTTGAATGTAATGTTATTCTAGACAAAAAGGAGGAACAAACATGCAAAGTAGACATTCAAATGATGAATCACAGTTGTTTAAAAAACAGAAACCAGGCGATTCGGGGCCAGACGTAAGGTCCTCCTTTCAGGTGGTAACCTTCAAAAACAAGGAATTAATTTGTCACTGCTGAGGCTGCAGAAGACACCTGGCAAACTAGATGTGCAGTTAAAATGTGTCCTGCCAGCACTTTTGAATAAATCCAATCCCCTAAAACAGCCCTCAGTGGCCTGTCTGCTGCTGCTGCTGCTGCTGCTGCTGCTGCTGCTGCTGGTATTAGGCACACTTTCAGCCTCTTCTCTGTCTATTACAACTCTGAGGAGAGAGCAGATCAAAGATGGAGGAGGTGAAGTCTGTAAGACAAGCACTGTTTCCCTGCAGGTAACAAAAATGGATCAGAGAAGCATTACAGTGCATTCCCTTTTGAACAACCAACCACGGTTTTACCACAGATAAAAGAGCTGCTGTGAATATGTGAATGTTGAAATCACATGATCCCTCAATTGTTTAAAACACTGGCACAACTTGGCACTTACTGACCGAACACGAGTTGCAGAGAGGAGGCATGATATGAGAAACAGATCTTGTTTTCCAAAGGCATCATCAGCCTTGCAACAATTTTTTGTTCACTGGTTATAGAATGTGGATAAGTCAGGGAATAAAATGTTTGTGATGAGAGGTAATGGGCAGTGGATACAACTGCAACTATTTTCTACCTATTATTTTAATATAGAAGAAAAAGTGAAAGGAACAAAGGTAAAGTATTGTGATTTCAATTCTGTGCAAGCTACAGTCTTAAGGACTACACCAGATACACAACAGCAAGTCACCAAAAGATGGTGTTTGACCTGAGGCAAGTGATTGGCCATGAGCCAGCGACCATTAAAAACCAGACACTCACTCAGGTGTCCTCGTAAAAATACTGAGGTGTCCACATAGACGACCTTCTTCGCTGGAAAAAAAAAAAAAGAACGAAAACACATTGATAACCTGAGCAAAAGACTGCAGCAGAGACTTGTGAGCAGCCAGATCATACAGCACTGAGCCCAAGACAAAATTCCTCTCTGGGACAATAAAGTTTATTTTACTTTGCTTTAAGATGCTGTTGATAAAACAGCCTTTGTTCTGTTGTGGCCTGAGGGAGATCCTGATCTGTCCACGGTGGGTACAGCCAGCTGAATACTGCATTCTCACACAATGATGGTGGCTTTTAGGCTGGTCAGCTCGCTTGCTCTTCCTCTTATTAAACCACTGATTTTCAATAAGTATCTCTGTGTATTTGCAGTAGTATGACATTTGTAAGTTTGCACACCACCATGCACTCAAGTGGCTCTGTTCAACACAGTTTGTCTGGGTGGTCAACCCATGCTTATGCCATCTGATTTAAGACTAGATGGAAATAATGCATACTGATGTAATGATATATAACAACTACTTTGTGTTTTGTGAGTGTTTGTGTGTGCGTCTTACCACTCTGGCAGGGTTGCTGTAGTCTATCTTGAGACTGGCCATGGCTTTAACAATGGCCATAATGGACTGGATGGTATTACTGTAAACCACTGCTCGGTACTGCTTACACTCGTCTTCTGAGTAGCCATCCTCATGGATGATCCTGAGAATATCAAGAAGCATGCAACATTTATTAATGTGTATACATTAAACCTGCATTAACAGATTTTCTTTGGCCACTTGGGGGTTAAATGCTCCACTGGCAACACTTCTTCAAACATCAATCATTAAGCTAAACATAAATTCACGTTGTACTGCTGTAAACTGATACACAAACAGTAATAACTCAACTGGTATGTTTATGAGTGACACAGTTGAGTGTTGAAGCTGAAAGGCTGCTTTTTTTTCTTTTTTTTAATTTGTCTGCAATGCCTAAGTCGTCTATCAAGAAGCAAATACTGTGTACTGTGCATCGCATTTATCATGCCAGCATGCTGTGTAGGATGATGCAGTGGGGTTAACACACACTGGAACTGCCTCAACTCTGCAGCATCCATTTGATGCAGTATCCCGAGTTTACCTCTTGCAATATTATCACTCTGGACCTGAGAGTGAGAGAACTAAGTGTGCATGTACAAGAGTGCATCCTGTCATGAGATGCAATCATCCAGTCTTCATTTGGAAAGTGTAGAGAGAGCAAACTGAGAGGTCCTCACTATAATTGTTAAGTACAACTGCCGGTTGCTTTTAAACAGTGTGTTGTTGCAAATGATAATGAACAGCAGTGATTCAGCAAATACAAGTTTGCCAAAATTTTTAAGATGTTTTAAAAAATGCAGTTATGTTTTCCTGACTTTCCCTGCTGCAATGTTGTGTTTACACAGGATGCGTCGATGTGTAATGTTACATAATAGGCAAGTGTTGTGAGTGTTTCAGTCTTGCAGGCTGATTTATCTGTACGCCTCTACGTGTTAATAACCTGCCTTCAAAAAGCCACAGACTGTTCCTGCTCCAAGCTCATAAAAAATGGATTCAATGCCTGGCTAGCCCAGAGGAATGTGAATAATTAAGCCATTTAGGGTCCTGTGTATGTGTGTGTGCATGTGTGTGTGTCTGTGTGTGTTCAGATTGATACACAGGCATTACAACATCCTCTGTATTCAGAAAGTCCTCACACTATTCTTGTGCTAGAAGCAGTAAAAAACAATAACAAACAGGAGAGGCCGTGACGTCCCCTAGAAACCACATAGAAGGAAGTCAAATTTATCTTATCTAACAATGACATGGTTACTATTGTAAACTACTGAGCTAAAACTTCTGATTTTATCTGCCTTGTGGTCAGTGCATGAGTGTCTGAGTCAAACAGGGAAGACAATATCAGAAAAGTGTGGAGAAATGAACAGGTTGTAGGGAATAATCAGGTGTAGTCGTGGTAGTTTATGTATTAGTTAGAGTGTCACTTACAAACAGGCCCTAAACAATAGCTCAAGGATAGCTGTGAAGACACGGATAGACTCAAGACAGCCCAGTCCCCAATGGCCACTGTCATAACAACCAAGGTCATAAAGTATCATGAACCGAGCCTCTGGTCGAGGGAGTGAGCAGTCATAACACAGGGGCCCTTCAGCCCCTTGGGAAAGTATTGCATGAAAATGTACAATGTGACTTAAGTGAATGTGATTTATTGTTCAGGATTTAGTACCAAACAGAATCTTTACACATGTATGGATAGGTGCTGTGGTCCCATGAAGATTATCCTTATTTGGACATGTAGCAGTTGGACGAGTTTTGTGTGGGTTTAAATAGGCCCTGCAAGGAAGATGACCTTCAGAGCTGGGCAGCATTACACAGCGTTAACTTGTATTGCTAATCTCTATTCTCTTCGGCTGAGCGTTGATAAATGCTTCTGATTAAGAGACATGCACACAAAAAAAAACTGCAGAACAACAACAACAATGCGACAAATATATTATTTTGTCTTAAACAGATATCATTGCAATTTTTTATTTAAAAAAAAAACATATTGTGATTTGTATTTTCTACTATGTAAGATAGATTTGGTCAAGTTCAGCTAGTTTATAGTATACAACTGCTCACCCAACACCCTAACAGAGTTTCAGAGAGGTGGAAAGTCCATCCTTAGGTTGAACAGAATAGTCAAAGTATTAAAAATAATGTGAGATGTGCTTTTGTAACTTACTTCATCTGCTTTACAATGGTGCTCTTCCCAGACTCCCCGGCACCTGTTGGAACATTAAAAGATTAGAAGTCACAAAATAAACTTCACACGCATGTTGCTGTTGTCTTTGCATCTGTCTTTGTGAAGGGAATAAAGCTGAACATTAGTTTCTTCTCTGAAATCATGAGTGACCCAGAGATGACCCGAGACTAACATCGCATTTTGTCCTCTGGGTCATCTGGTTTATTTATCTTTCCATTTTTTGAGGACATGATGTACAGATACGCACAAAGAATTCCCCTATTCATTTCAATGTTTATTTTCCAATCTGGTAGAAGAAGGGTGCAGGGAAGAGCAATGCTTTCATGGCTATTGATTATTTAGTACTTAAAGCAACGTTTTTCCCAACTCATGGTAAGTACATAATGAAAGAAGATCATTTAAATGTGGCTTTGAATGTTTTAATCTATGGAATATAAATGAATCAATATAAATTTCAAAGCATACCATGGATTTAGATTGATTTTTCACTCTCTAGGCAGCCATTGGCTTCCATTCACTTCAGCACCCTCTGCAAAGGTGGGAAATCAATCACTGTGAACTATTCACAACCTATCATTTTGCCAAACTTATCATCTCATGGCAATGTTGCTGTAAGCTACAGTGGGACCAACTCCATTAGATGCAGAAACACAAACACGGCTAGAAAAGTCCCTGCTCACAACAGCACTACAGTACTGCAGCACAATAAGATGTTGAGAAAAAGTAAACTAAAAATAAAACGTTTAATGTGACTCATTACCAAGTTTCTATTCTCTATTCTGACATTTTTGGGTTCCTTGTGGAGTTTTTTGTCCACTACTTGCACAATGGAGCAATGTTTCTGTGAGTGAATCCCTGTATTGTTTGTACAGTTTGTGCACAAGGATGCATGACCCTGCCACCAGTTTTTATGCTATTCCACTGGCCCACAGTGAGCAACGTTAACGCTGCAAGAAAAAGGCAAGGAAGACTTGCGAAGGTACCAAACACGGTTGTAAACAATACAGGGTTTCAATTTGTTTTAAGAATGAGCTTTGTAAATTTTTTATGAGGAAGCAAATGCATTCAACGCGTTTGTTTGACCTCAAGGGTACACATAGTGTGTTTTGGTCTGAATGTAAACACAGCTTTGTGTACAAGACAAGTCTGCAGTCAACTGCAATCAATAGAAGCCTGACACGAACACTGAATTTAGGAACATCTAGAAATGTATACAATCTGAAAAATGTGTGGGAAATAATGTATAATATCTACAATCAGTGAGCTGAAACCACCAGTATCATATACTGTATTAACTGTAGATGAGAGTAACACATAAGACCTAAAGGGCAAGAAAAGGCCAAGTTCTGTGGATTAAAAAAAGAAGAATTAAAGATCCATTAAGGATTTAAAATTAAGAGCATTAGGGCTGAGATGGCCAAGCAAAAAATTAAAAAAAAAGAAGAAATTATGTGCCATATAGTAGCAAAGTTGTCATGCACACAGTTCACACGTCAGCACAAAAGTGTTTTCTGGTTTCTTGGTGAATGAACCCTCTGTTGTGAATGATACAGCGGGCTGTGCTTCAAAACCATGGTTATCTGGTTTAAATGAAAAAAGCCTGAGTCTTCGGCACGTCCACTGTGTTGTCAGGACCATGCCACCATGAACTGTCCCATCACGCCACCTGACCCAGCCCTGCCAAATAACATTAGCCTTGCCGGAGCTGACGGAGCAAGTGGGACCAGCAGTGCCACAACCCCCACCCCCCACCCCCTTCCTCCTCATGCTGTCAACATTCATCATATTCACACACATCCAGCACTTTTCTGAGCGAGAGGAAGGAACCCAGGGCAAAGGGAGGGGTGTAAAAGCAAGGTCTGGGGCTACGTTCTCCATCATAAGATCTGTCGCTCATGTCTCACTGCTCAACAGGCACAAAGGCAGAGAAGAACCTGGATGGCTCTTCAGGTGTTTCGAGACTCTGTTACAAAAAATATAACAATAACAATCCAGTATATGTATTTTTTATTTAACACAATTATCAGAATATTATATGGTTATTTTTTAGTGTTGCTAAAATTTTCAGGTTCACTCCAGGCCATTCTCTTTGATCCTTTTTTTGTTCATAACTTACACCCAAATGAATCCTGAAGCAGAAACTTTTTAATCTTACTTAAGGCTGATCAAGATTAAATTATGTAACTAGGCTGCTGTTTCTATTCTTTCACCAACCTGTCTCTACGAAAACAATGTTTTAAAACAGGGCGTGCTAAATCTCTTCTTTTAAACTGCCATCCACTTCCATCTGGCACATCAAAGTTTTCCCTCAGACAGATAAACATGAACAAAATAATAGACAACATCAGACTTATAGACACATGTATAAAAATGTCCCGTTTAATAAAAGGCAGGTGGTGGAAAGTGGAATATCAGCCTCTCTGCGGACACATACATGCATGAAGGTCACCTTCCTCACTCCAGAATAAAAGTCATCCATTAATATTGCAGCCTGAAGGGAGGCGAACACTTGTGAGCAGCAGCGAAAAAGAAGAGAGCATCCTCATTCTTCATGCTCAAGGTGTTTTAGGAGAAACGGGCAGTGTTGTTGTGCCACTTCAGGAGGGAAAACTTTTGAATATTACAGTATCAGGACATCTTATCGCAGCAGACTAAACAGTGCTATATAAACATCATTGTTTTGAATTCATCTGGAGGCTGGAACTGATCACTAAACACAATAAAGAGCGTGAGTTATCTTACTGTGTTATAATAAAAAAAAATTAAAAAAATAGAGAGAGCTGAGCTGACTGTGGATTTATCAAGATCGATATCACTCTCATATAAGAGTACAGGTAAAGTTGTTGTAAAATTAAAGACATAGATACTATATGTACTGAGGTGATGTTCATATCAGACATCAAATTGACAGACATCTCTGTGACTTTGACTGTGGCATGTTTTTTGATACTAGTCTTCCCATGGGTCTGTCAGTTTAATCAGGATGATCCTCCTCGCCCACTCTGACTATATACTGTATGACTTTGTCAGGCCTCAGGGATGTTTGGATGACAACAGGTCCACCTTCATCTCCCAGACTCTTCTTGGGTCTTCTCTTCCGTGATGAGCTGTACTGTATGTATGGGGCTGGTCTCATGTGGGTCTGACACTTTTTCCGTCTCTCTGAGGACCTTGTCATGACGCCCGCATCTCACCTGGCTAAGTGCAGTCTTGCACCCTGCCAGTATGTGCAGGCTTGGTGTTGCAAGTGTCACTCTTGTACACTGATGGCAGCAGGAAGGAGATGCGGAAGGGATCCAGTCTCCAAAGGCCAAACTTTGTCTAGATCCTTTATAGTCCAAGTTCCACAGCCCTTAACTTTCACCCTTCCTCCACCAGGTGTTGGCCCTCGGCTTGGATCTGCTTTGAGTCCGCTTTCCCCTATTGCTGGAAGTGGGTGGTTCCAAATCCTTGCCTTTCCCTCGCATGGGTTCCTGATGATGTCCTTCAACTTCAGCATACTTTCTGCCTGTGCCACTGATGTGTCAGCTGCCAGTCTCTGTATCTCTGTACATCATCTCAACCCTGGACTTTGCCACCTTGACCTATTTGAAAGCTGTAACTGCCCAGACTTAAAGTGCAGCCCTACTGATGTGAAGCTTGGTAGAATTCTGAGTCACCTGTTAAGGTATTTGTCCACTGATGTCATAGGTCATAATGTTTTGTGCCATTATAACAATGTTATAATGGAAAAAATGTACCTGTAAGATGAAATCTGCCCATAGCTGAGCCATAAACTCAAGAGGATTTTAGGCGTATGACACAGAGATACTACAGACTACACACAACTGTTAATACCAAGCTGAGTGACAATCATAAAATGATGCACCTCTATGTTGAGAGCAATAGTCTTGTAGTTGGTAAAGAGTGTTACTAATCAAATTATACGCAGAACATTAATTTATCCCGACGGGCTGCCACCAAACTGTCACATCGTTAATTCAAGTACAGATGTTGCTGACAGTCAAAACGATCAATTATCAGGGGACAAAAAGTCTCTACACAGGACTACAACGGACTCATGTGGAGCTCTGATATTTTTCACACGAGTATATCAGAGAACGGTCCACTCAGCAGAGAACAAACAATATTGCTAAAAACATTTAATTTTCCTATTATAGATAAATCTGCAGTATATTCAAACTGAGCAGATGTATCCATCGTACATGAAGCCCTGGGCTTCTAATGAGTTGGAGCAGTAATGAGGACTGATCAGAATTACAAAGACCCTTCTGTGTTCTGTGCTGGCAGAGCAGACAAGCTCTTTCTTTTTAGTGCCGTTACAAGAGAAGCAGAATCACTTTCTGGCAACAGGAAGATGATGCCACCCCCTCTTTCTCCTTCTTCAACCCCAACTATTCATAGCTGGTCCCCAGTTGGTTTTCAGAGAGCACCAGAGCACACAACAAAGATAACGACATGATTCGTAGCATGAGGATCACAAGTGGCCGGGCTACAGAAAACAGAACTGTTTCTCTCAACACATCCAATACACTCACAGGCGCACTCACACTGATGACAGCTTGGCCGCAGTCTCAGTCATCCACTGCTGATGACACAAAGTATCCATTCATGGCCTGATGTGATACCCTGATCTTGGCAGAGGCACAAGCATCCATACATAATCTGACAGAGGATAAAGTCAGTCACCTGTCAACTAGCCCCACACCCTCATCTACACCTGAGCTATACTCAGGGGCAGTGAATTGATTGGTGGTTTCTTGAATATGATCATTTTCTGCTTTTTGCTGCTAAATCGAATATTGGGTTTGGTTGACCAAAATAAGCTATTTGAAGATGTAAGCTTGGGATCTGGCAATTTGTGATGGATATTTTATTATCATTATTTTTAAAAAAAATTAACTTTCAAATCCATATTCTGTAAAAAAAAATAAAATAAATTTAAAAAAAAAAAGTGACTGAGGCATAAAAATGCAAAATGTTTAATCACTGCAATGATGCTTCTCACTTTGTTGGCCACTG